TGTCAGTATCTCCCCTGTAGTTTGTCTGCTTTGTCAGTAGGCGTCAGTGTATTCAGAGACAGCAAGCACAGTTTCGGTCATCCCTCAACGCCACAGACCTTTATTTTGAAATGTGGGCGCAGCGGAAGTTAACTCACATAGCTAAGTCTACGTGGTCAGTTTGTGTGTATGTGTGTGTGAGAGAGAGCGAGAGAGAGAGAGAGGGAGAGAGTGTGTGTGTGTGTGCGCTCAGGTGTGTGAACATGTTACCTTTATCTATCAAAGATGACGAATATAAACCCGCCAAGTTTAACCTGCTGCTCAAACTCTCCAGCTGGTTCAGGTAAACCTACTTCATTACCGCTGCTAACTAGGCTAACCGCACTGATGCTGTTAGCGTGAAGCTATCCGGTTAGCTTTAACACCGGGTCACTGTTGTTGATTTAACATCACTGAATGGCGTCACTTTTCAACTGTTCAATTTTCCACTGACGTGTTACTGCCTATCTGCTGGCTGATTTACTGCCTGTCTGGTTAATTGTTTGGTTTACCATCACTGACTGACGGAGCGGTGATTGGTTTTAACCTGCCCATTTGTTTTGGTCAACTCCTGTTTGTTAGCTCTTTTCCATTGTTGTTCACAGACTGTTTGACTGTTTTCAGTTGGCCGACTGTTATCTTCTGCTCAGACCTTCTCTGTTCTGCCTATATTCCAGGTCGATCCTGGCTGATAAAACCTCCAGGAACCTTTTCTCCTTCCTCTGCCTCAACCTGTCTTTCGCCTTTGTGGAGCTGACGTACGGAATCTGGAGCAACAGGTAAGGAGAGACCCAGGCTAAGATGCTAACTGCTAACAATAGGACCGACAACAACACCCAGTGTTGTATTGTTAATTGTACTGATGATGGTACTGTTGACCTGGCTCACCTCTATGGTACTGATGATGGTACTGTTGACCTGTGCCTCCAGTTTAGGACTGATCTCCGATTCCTTCCACATGTTCTTCGACTGCACGGCTCTGTTGGCTGGACTGGCAGCCTCTGTCATCTCCAGGTGGAGATCCAATGACAGCTTCTCCTACGGGTGAGCCTGACATCTGACCTGTGAAACCCCACCACTGATCATGTGACTGACTCTGTGTCTGTGTGTGTGTGTCTGTCTGTCTCAGTTATGTCAGAGCAGAAGTGTTGGCAGGCTTCGTGAACGGACTCTTTCTCATCTTCACAGCGTTTTTCATTTTCTCTGAGGGAGTCGAGGTAAAACGTGCACACACACACACACACACACACACAGACACACACACACACAGACACACACACACAGATGTATGAACACCCCCTCGTCCCCCGTCAGAGAGCCCTGGAGCCTCCTGATGTCCACCATGAGCGTCTACTTCCTGTCTCTGTGGCCGGTCTTCTGGTGAATCTGGTGGGGATCTTCGTGTTCCAACATGGAGGTCATGGACACTCTCATGGAGAAGAAGGTACATAAACATTTCCAAAAATCCTCATTCATTCAAAAACCCTAGTCCCTTCCAAAACAGCCACAGTGTTTCCAGAGCGACACCGTGTGGTGAGAACACATGCCAGGTCTGAAAACCTTTGGACCATTCAGACCTTCTCACATCATACAGATGTTCTCTGAACCAACCCTAGAACTTCATTAGAACGTCAGTGACTTCCTGACACATGAGAACGTTCCTTAAACGCTGTTTTGTTAAATCCTAGAACATACAAACATGTGGTTGAATCTTGGAACACCACAGAACATTTGAATCTCTTTTAAACCTCATGACATCACAAAGGATTCCACAACAGCTCACAGCATCCAGAATATTCTACAGTATTATTAACAGAATATCTGGATTATCCCCAAACCTCCTAGAAGGGGCAGCTGGGGGGGGTTATATACAGGGCAACAATGCTAACAGGATGTGATGCGTTGTGTTATGTAAGTAGTAGTAGATGTTCACTGCTGATCTGATTGGTCTGTCCCAGGTCACGGACACAGTCACTCACTGTTTAATGGGGGTCTGAGCCACGGACACAGTCACGGACAGAGTGTCCAGAGCAAATTCACAGACCAGCATGGACACGATCACGGACATGGACACGATCACGGACATGGACACGATCACGATGGACACGATCACGGACGATCACGGACATGGACACGATCACGGACATGGACACGATCACGGACATGGACACGATCACGGACATGGACACGGTCATGGACACGAGGATCCAGGATGTCATGGTGAGTTAGTCTTGTGTGGACACGGTCTGACAACATCACTGATTTTCTCTATGGACTTTGGTCGGTGTCGGTGTGTGTGTTTGTGTCGGTGTGTGTGTGTCTCAGTCTCAGTCTGATCATCTTTTTCTTCTTCTCTGTTCCAGACCAGTACACACCAGGAAAAGGTTCCAGTAAACAGATCCTTCAAGGTGAGACTTCATCTCTGAGTGACCAGGAAATCTGTCTCTACCATCTGACCTCATGGTCCATGTGTGTGTGTGTGTGTGTGTGTGTGTCTGTGTGTGTGTGTGTGTGTGTGTGTCACAGGGGTCCTCCTCCACATCATGGCTGACACTCTGGGCAGTGTAGGTGTCATCATCTCTGCTTTGCTGATGCAGAAGTATGACCTGATGATCGCAGATCCAATCTGCTCCATGCTGATCGCTCTGCTAATTGGAGTCAGGTGACTAACCATCTCACACACACACACACACACACAGAGACAGAGTGTTGGTTGAGGAGGAAGCTTACAGCAGGAGAGCGTGGTTAAAAACAGAAGAAAAAAGACCCAGAAGGAATCCCAATAAAGGAACACCAGAGGAACCAGTAAAGATAGGGACCAGGCTGGAACTGGGGCGTGAACAGGACGGAGACCACAGGCCAGCTTGGACTCCTCCAGGACCAGACTGAGGTCTCCTGAGAGGGTCACAGACTGACGGAGGTCAGAGGTCAGACCTGACTACATCAACATGGGCAGGTGGGATGAAACTCATTGATACCCCCTTGTGGAGGAAGACCTAAAAGCACAGGTGGATGAACTGCTCTAATGTTCAGAGAGTTTCAAGAAAAGTTTTGTTTCGATTTGCAAAGTGACGTATTCTAACCTTCCAAAGTATTTTCTCAAATACTTTGATCAACGTACGTTCTCTTGATATATTTTAAACGGTCTGGCTGTGTGGAATGTGTCACTGCCTATCGATCACCAGCAGGGGGCATCAGTGCTCTCGTCTCCTCTGTTTGAGTTGCATTCATCTGAGCTCCTCCAGAACCAGCACCACTCTGGACTCCTCTCCTCCATCAGTGCTGCAGACCAGTCCAACTCTGACAGGACCGACAAAAAGAAGGACAGAGTTTGGAACCACAAGTTGAGCCAACAAAGGGATGGCAACATATCCAACAGTTACTAAATAGTGTCTTAACTTCCACCACATAGCTAAAAGCTAGCCTACAAAATGCCAGTAGCTAAGAGCTAAATGGCACAGTTGGCAGCAAAGTGGAAGCTAAAATTCTAATAGGCTAAAAGCTATGTAGGATGGTAACCTAGGTTACAGCCAATTGTTTAACACATTTTGTTAAAAAAAAATTGTAAATATTGGAAAAGATTATTTTAAATAATTAACATGTTAAAAAATGTATTATAAAGTGTTTTTTATCAAAGTTCAAACAAAAAAAAACAACCCTCAAACCCAAACTCCCTTAATTTAGCAGAGAGAACTGAAAGTCAGCTCAAAGGTTTCTACATGTTAACCAACACATGGGAGGGAGGACATCTCTGTGTTGCACAACATTTATAACTTGAGGAGTTTTGAGTCTGCTGTTAAACCACTGTGTTTGTGAGGAATCATCAAAAGAACGTTAACTGAGGTTCTCTGCTGGATCTTTAGACCTTTGTTCTCCTCAACAGCCTCCTCCTTCCCAGTGTTCCTCCTCCTCCTGGTTTTCCACTTGTGTAAAGAATGTACAGCTCATACTTTCCTCAGCTCCAACAACCACCGGCATGAACCTGGAGTCCGTCCTGGGCAGGAACATGCAGTGGTCAGATTTCCCAGAAGCCCTCAGTGATGAACTGAGCTGATGTGGTTTTGATAGGATGGAAAAGATGCAGCTGCATCATTGGCTCATCATTGGAGGAGAAGATCTGTGGTCTGAGGCTGCGCTCTGAGACCTCAGTAGACCAGAGGATTCAGATTACTGCAGCTGGAAGACAACCAAACCCCAGTCAAGAAACCTTCATGTTTTAAACCAAACCCCAGTCAAAAAACCTTCACTTTTCAGAACAAACCCCAGTCAAAAAACCTTCACGTTTTAGACCAAACCCGATTCAAAATAAACCTCGACTTTTTAGACAAACTCTAGTCAGAGAGCTGAACTCAAACTAAACCTTTGACCTTTTACCCTCAGCGTGGTGCCATTACTGCGGGAGTCCATTGGAATCCTGATGCAGAGAACTCCACCATCTCTGGACCATGTCCTACCAGAATGTTATCAAAGGGTGAGTTATCAGCCCCTCCCCCGCTCTTAACCTAACCCTTCTCAGTTCTACAGTGTTTTCTGCTGTGGTTCCTTTAGGTGCAGCAGCTGCAGGGCGTCTACAACCTACAGGAACCTCATTTCTGGACCCTGTGCACCGACGTTTACATCGGGACGTTGAAGCTGCTTGTCGCCCCGGACGCAGACACACGCTGGATCCTCAGCCAGACCCACCACATCTTCACACAGGTACCTGAACACATTACGGAGCACAGAACCGCAGTCGAGAAACCTTCACGTTTTAGACCAATCCCCAGTCAAAAATCCTTCATGTTTTAAACCAAACCCCAGTCAAAAAACTTTCACTTTTCAGAACAAACCCCAGTCAAAAAACCTTCACGTTTTAGACCAAACCCGATTCAAAATAAACCTCGACTTTTTAGACAAACTCTAGTCAGAGAGCTGAACTCAAACTAAACCTTTGACCTTTTACCCTCAGCGTGGTGCCATTACTGCGGGAGTCCATTGGAATCCTGATGCAGAGAACTCCACCATCTCTGGACCATGTCCTACCAGAATGTTATCAAAGGGTGAGTTATCAGCCCCTCCCCCGCTCTTAACCTAACCCTTCTCAGTTCTACAGTGTTTTCTGCTGTGGTTCCTTTAGGTGCAGCAGCTGCAGGGCGTCTACAACCTACAGGAACCTCATTTCTGGACCCTGTGCACCGACGTTTACATCGGGACGTTGAAGCTGCTTGTCGCCCCGGACGCAGACACACGCTGGATCCTCAGCCAGACCCACCACATCTTCACACAGGTACCTGAACACATTACGGAGCACAGTTCCCTGTACCATCCTGTGTTCAGCAGCACTTGTTATTAATACAGTACAATTAGTCTTAATGAGTATTTGTTGTAGGATATTCAGTACTATGTAAGGTTTACTCATATTACCACTATTAGTATATTAATTAATGTTTCCATTTATTTTATCCCACCTGTAATCAGCACTGTTGTCGAACACAGCACACGACAAACCGGACGTGTCTAGAGTTTTATTAAAAAGTTTTTAGCAGTATTCAAAGCAGTATTTTGGTAGTATTAGACAACTAAGTAATAATTTGCATGTGTAGATTCATCGCAGTACTCGGTCTGTATTACTTTTATTCGTACTTTCAGTAATAAGTCTCTCTCACTCTCTGTCTCCCCCTGCAGGCAGGCGTGCGACAGCTCTACGTTCAGATTGACATGGCGGCCATGTAGAAGCTCCTCCTACTTCTTTCTTTTTAATGACTGGGACCAATCACATTCAGTCTGCTGGTGCAGCTGATCTCGCCTCTCCTCTGAGCCCCGCCTCTTCACTTCCTGTAAACAAACTGAAGCAGGTTTGTGGGGAGGCACTAAGCCCCTCTGTTTTTTTTAAACTCCACCCCTTTTATCTTCACGTTAAAGTGCCTTCTTCATCATCATCATCTACGGACGATCTGACTCCGCCCCCTCTGTGACATCGCCACTGGGATCAGATCTGATACAATCTGACTGGGCTGTGGTCAGATTGTATGAGATGTCACTTTCTGTCTTTGAACGTGCCAAAACCATGTGACTTGTTTATTTTCCACTGTAATAAATTTAATTCTCTTTTTCTCTGAGCAGACTATAGATTTTTGATGACATCACAGACCTGATGATGTTATTGAGAGGATCTGGTTTCCTGTTTACATTTTACTTGTATTCATCTACACATATATAAAATCACATCCTGTTCAGTCAAGATATTTCTGAATTAAAACTAGGGTTGATTGTTTTAATTAACTTCAAAGTCTCCCTTTTTAAGGTCAAAGCTGCAACACCATCATTCCCCCAGCACTCGTGTCATTGGCGGTTTTTGAATCAGGTTCACAATGAATTAATCTTAACATGAAATCAGTTTTAGTTGGACTAGTCAGTGTTCAGAGAACCTGGATGTCGTTAGTCCGGACTTTATCGGAGTATCACAAATCACAAATTGAACGAGTGAACGTTCACGACTTTATTTTCTGTCCACATCAAACTTCACACTTGAACTGGATTGGTTTTTTCTGGCCCTGGAGTCAAACTTTCTGGACCCAATCTACCCAGTTCTGTGCCAAACCTTGTGAGTCCTGATGTCAAGGTTCCTGGAACTGCCCCGTGTTTGCTTCGCCCCCTGCTGGAGCTGGTCCGCCAGTGTCATATTAACGCGCGTGTTTGGGTGTGTATTTCTTGTTATGAAGTGTAGGTGGAGCTGTCAACCATGGTCAGGTGATCCAGAGCGCTGGTCTCAGCGTTGACTTGAAGCATCTCCACCTCCAGTGGGTGGAGTCGACCGGTGACCACCAGTGAGTGGAGTGGAGCACCCAGGTCACATGACACCAGCTGGCCCAAGGTCGCCGCACGGATCTCCTGATCGTCCGCTCCAAGTCGGGCAACACCTACACACACCGTGTCCTCGGTCACACCTGGGGTGGAGGTGAGGGAAGCGAGCAGTGACATCAACAGGTTGTCAATAATGTTCTGTCAACCTCCTCTGACCCAGAACCCCGCAAATTGAAATACTACTGAGTACCTGATAAGAGGTATACTTCTTCTGTACAAACCACTGTATGCCACCTAGTGACTGGAGGCTTGTTATCATTCAAGCATTACAGCAGTGGTACACTTATGTACAGCGTGCAATACCCCCCCCCACCCTTGCCCCACTATTTGAGAAGTACTGATTTAGGGTCACACGTGAATTTTGGTGGTGGTTGGTTCCTCACTGTCTGTCACTTCCTGTGTTTACCTGGCATGTCATGTGACTTGGGTAAGACTCACCTAGCTCCTCCCCCGGCTCGTCCTCCCTCCTCCTTCTGATGATCTGGACCAGCTGATCTGCTGCCTGACTGACGGTCATGAAGCGTGGAGGTTCATAGATTTTTTTCCCTCTGAGTCCACAAAACAGACTGAATCAGAACCAGAACGAGCAGACCTAGATCTAGTCCAGGTTCTGAACAGGATCCTCACCTCATCATGTTCTCCACGCTCTGTTCCTTCACTTTAATGTCTGTGGAGAAGAACACTTGTGGTTAGGATTAAATGTAGGTTTGGCTAACTTTCAGCTAGCTCTCTTTGTTGTCCAAAAATTATTTTAAAAAATTTAGATTTTTTTGGATAAACTTTCCAAGAATTTTAGTAATATCTCAAATAAGTAGTAGTAGCAGTAGAAGTTTTTGTTATTCATTCATAAAACCCTGTGGTTTTTATTTTCTGTCTGAATGATTAACGACCGTCTCAGCAGGATACACACACACACACACACACCCAGAGGCCATTAAATGAAGTGTGACCTGCAGGTTCAGATCCCTGAGGAGTGTCTGTCTGTGTGTGTATGTATGTGTGTGTGTGTGTGTGTGCGTACTACCCAGTAGACAGAGTGTGTGTAATCCCATTTGTCTGTTTTTGCAGATTTTGTCAAAGAAGCTCTCAGGTCTCCACGTCTCCGTCCAGAACACCAAAGACACGGTCTCACCGAAATTATACAACTGTAATAACACACACACACACACACACACAGATTATATAAATATTTAAATATTCTTACTGACTGTTATTGCTTTGTCTAACAGATGTGTGCGGGGGTGGGCTGGGGGTTATTTTAAACACATGCCCCCTCATTAACATATTAACGACCCCTCAGAGGAAGCTTTATTGCTATACGTGTGTGTGTGGTGCAGCTGTGTCCTGCACTCTGATTGGCTGCCGTCAAAGCTCATTGACAGATGAACCTGCAGTCCGCAGCAGCCCACAGCGTTCAGGATGGAGGCGTTGTGGATCACTTTGTACGGTATCCCAGCATTCACAGCTCTGAGGACCAGGTCACTGTGGGTCGTGGCCCTGTTCAAGGGTCACATAGGGAGGCCCACTCTTAGTCAATACACCAAGATGAAATATTCATTCTGGACACTTATTTACTTCAAACCAACATCATCTTCAAGAATCCTTTGTTCAAATTATTTTCATTAACACAGACTGACCACTGGAGGCAGCAAGAGAACCATAGCTCCTGACTCTCTGCAAGCTAAAACTTTAAGACAGAATGGCAAAAGTGTGTCTAAGAGGAAGAGTGCAGGTGAAGTGTCTGTGATGGAGTCACTCACCCAAAGGGGTCACCCACCACCAAAAAACCAACGTCCTCCTTGTCTGCGTCCTTTAAAATCTCCTCTGATCGTTGTTCCACCTGCTCCCTGTCAGCAACTATCAACTCTTTACCATAGAAACTCTCCTGAGGACGAGAACTTAACGTTAGCCAAGTGAGTCAAGACAAGCAGCGCCACCAGGTGACAAGTTAGAATTGACACCTGTTTTTCCACTCTGTATTGACCCACTAGCGTCCCCTATCCGCCGCTCTGCTCAGTAAACTTTATTTTACTCAGAGCCGGTTTGTGTATCGACTCACCAGCGCTCCCTTCCCCCCGCTTAGGACAGATGTGTACTCCTCCAGATACACCCGGCTGCAGCTCCGCAGCGCTTCCAAACCTTTCACCGTGATGTCCCGGGCGTCTCCCAGACCCAGACCGATCAGGAACAGCATGATATCGGCCTCAGAGTGTATACTAAGCCGCTGCTTTACACCGGAACTCTCTTCTAACTCTCACATGGAGGTTCAGAGGACAGAGCAGAATACGGCTTTGAGTCGCAATGTGTTTTTGTTGTTTACGACAGCTGCCACCGCTGTACGTTCCGCTCACTTAAGTGGCTAAGTCTAGTGGCTCACTAAACTGGCATGTCAGTAGGTTGTATCCAGCCTACAGGAGGAAGACATTTACTTTTAAGAAACTATTTTTAACTTTAAATACATATTTCTCTAATTTATACTTTTGGAATAATAATTTTGTTAACCCCTTCGGTTTAGTGGTTCTTGTTGTAATGTCTGTTGTACTGTACTCATTTGTACATCTTTAAACTACTGTACTACAAAGCTGAATATATCTAGGTTCTGTTTATCAAGATATATATTTTATCTTTGTGTGGCATAGAAAACGTTAGCAACAATAAACAAATAAAAACACAGCCTAGATGTGAAGCTAATGGTATTTATACACTACATTAGTGTTAATGAGGTTTAGCATGTTAGAAAAATGGCATATTGCATCACAGGGAAATACATATAATTGTCATATTTCACAAGGTTTCCATTCAAAGAAATTGGATAGGTGGATGGTTAATTTTGATTTTCTGACTGTTTTTAAATTAAATGTATAAAAATACTAATTATTTAGTTTTATTTTTGCCTAGGTCTGGGGGTTTTGGAGTCAGTTCTAAGCTATCATTTAGCTAACAGTTAGCTATAGTTTAGCTAACGCTTAGCTTGTTTGTGTTGTTTTTTTTACAGCAGCTTATAAATGTTTTTATCCACTGTATGACAGTTTTTACTTTTTTATTTGTTTAGCTGGAAGATGTTTGTGTGAACCCCCCGCTGGTTTCCATGGAGACGTCTCTTTTGTGAAAGCAGCTTTAGTGTGAATGAAAGCGGTGGGAAAAAGTTGTGCTCTGTCTCTGCTGTCCACTTCCTCCATCGCCGTTCAGTGTGGTAAACAAGCTGCTACACACACACACGAACACACACACACACTCTCTCTCTTTTCAGTTAATGACTGGGATGTTGGTGTGTTACATAATGGACTCCTCTCCTTTTTATATTTTAGGGGGTGAAGGAAAAGGAGGTGAGGATGGGGGCAGAGTCGGAGAGTGATAAAGTGATGGGGGAGGAGTGAGAGAGTGGGAGTGTGGGGGGCTGGAGGTCTTTTGTGGTTATGTTTCAGTTTGGTTGGCTCCAGTCATCCAGAGAATCAGCCTCATCCAAGTGTGTGTGTGTGTGTTAACTGTTTGTGTTCACACACACACACACACACATTTGTGAATCTGAACTTCAACAGAACAATCTCCAATTACAGGACAAAGACCGTCACATTCACATTCTGAGTTTATTTTCTGAGTTTTTTCACTCTCTAATGACACACACACACACACACACTCGTGTTTTATTTTTTTAACTGTGATTTTTGTTTAGAAACGTCTATATCAGTACCAGGACTTCCTGTTGGCTCCATTCTCTAGACTCGTCTCTGGAGCACAGACAATAGTTCTAACGTACAGTTCTGGTTATGGACCAGTGGTTTTAGAGGTGCAGAGAAAATTAATTATTTTGTCCCTGCAGCAGGAACCATATTTGGGAAGGACCAGAAACCTTCTGGTTAAACCCAAGTGTTTGAGAGCATTTAAACTAAGACTTGTTAACTCGACTGAAAGACTTGTAAACTTGATTCAAAGACCTGTTAACTTGACTGAAAAACTTGTTAACTCAATTAAACGACTTGTTAACTCGATTAAAAGACCTGTTAGCTCAATTTAAAGACTTTTTAAACTTAATTCAAAGACTTGCTAACTCGATTCAAAGACCTGTTTAATTTTGTTAATATTTAACTCGGATTAAGATTTAACATACGTAATTATATAATTGTTTTAAAGACTTGGTCATTTGGGTAAAAGGTTTATTTACTTTGTAAAACAACTTGGTTAAATATAAATATTTGTTAACTTTGTTTACTTTAGTCTCAAGACTGGTGGCATGGAGAAACTCTTAGAACATGTGTTCATGTCAAGTTCCAGAGAGATCCAGAACCACATCCACCTGACACAAGAATCAAGATGAGTCAGAGACCCGATCCCGGTCCCGGTCCAGGTCCAGGTCCAGGTCCATTCAGGGCCAGAGCTGTGGATTCTCTTGGGCTTCAACAGTTAAAGAGTGTGGTCTGTGGTTCTTGTGTTCTTTGAATATGTTTCCCTCCAGTGGTGGTCATGGTAACGCTCAGCTATGTGGAGGTCTTTGTTACCCACAAACCCCCTCTCTCTTCTCCCCCTTCTCCTCCCTCAACATTTTCTCTTCTCCCCACATTCTAATTCCTGTGAGCAGTGATCAGAAATTGAGATCCAGCATCTTCATCTTCATCATCACCGTCATCCTCACGATCATCTTTATCATCATCATCCTCACCATTATCGTCTTCATCATCATCATCATCACCACATACTCTCAGTTTTTTTATAAACTCTGTAAATACCTTTCCTCCATCTTTTCTTGAATTAAAATATTTTTCACTTTTGTTTCTTTCTTCACTCCATCCCTCCCTCCCTCCCTCCTTACCTCCCTCCCTCCCTCGCTCCTCCCCCTCACTCTTGTTTTACATCACCTCTGTATTCCATATTTCCCCCTCTCTCGCCCCTCTTTCTGTGTCCCTCTCACCCCATTTCCTTTTGTGTGTGTCCAGACCCCCCCTCCCTGTCTCTTTCTCTCTCTCTTGCTCCCTCCCTCTCTCTCCCCTCTCTCTCTCCTCACTTGTGTTCAGACTCTCCCTACTGTCGGACGTTTCCCTGTCGCTCTGCTCTCTGAGGATTTTCTTCTTCTTTTCTTCTGAAGGTAAAGAATCTTTTCCAGAACTTTTCCTTGAATGACTGTTGTGAATGACAGTGAACACAGTCAGCTGACTCAACAATGACATCACTTCACCTTTGTATCTATGTATCATGACTTAGTTACAGTCGTCTGTGAGCCGTCACTCTGATGATGCCACTCTGATGATGTCACTGATGATGTCACTCATGTCAGCTTTGATTGTTTTTGTTTGTTGGTTTAAAATTGGTCTTGTTTCCTGGTCTTTGACAGGACCATGTCCCGGTCCAGCAGCAGGACCCCCTCTGCCCCTCCTCATGACATGAAGCACTAAAGTCTGAGGAAACAGCTCCCCCTGCTGGACCCCTGCTACAACTGCAGGCCATGGCTGAACCTTCCTACACCGACCTGATCTCCAAACACTACAACCACACGGGAAAGTTCAGGAAGACGGAGCAGGACTCAGGTCTGAAGGCTGACTCTGTGGTCTTCATCATTGTGTGCTGCTTCATCATCCTGGAGAACATCCTGGTCCTCACCACCATCTGGAGGACCAAGAAGTTTCACAAACCCATGTATTACTTCATTGGGAACCTGGCGCTGTCAGACCTCCTGGCAGGTGTGGTCTACACCGCTAACATCTTGCTGTCGGGAGCCAACACCTACAAGCTGACGCCCACTCAGTGGTTCTTCAGGGAGGGCAGCATGTTTGTGGCGTTGGCCGCCTCGGTCTTCAGTCTGCTGGCCATCGCCATCGAGCGCCACCTCACCATGCTGAAGATGAAGCTGCACAACAACGGGAACACCTGCAGGGTGTTCCTGCTCATCAGCACCGTCTGGATGATCGCGGCGGTTCTGGGAGGTCTGCCAGTTATGGGCTGGAACTGCATCCAAAGCATGAGCCACTGCTCGACCGTCCTGCCGCTCTACCACAAGACCTACATCCTTTTCTGCACCACCGTCTTCAGCGTCATCCTCCTGGCCATTGTGGTCCTCTACGCCCGCATTTACGTGCTGGTCCGCACCAGGAGCCGCAAACTGGTTTTCCGTAAGGGAACCAATGGGCGCAGCGGCTCCTGTGGAAACAGCAAAAGCTCGGAGAAGTCCCTGGCTCTGCTGAAGACCGTCATCATCGTCCTCAGCTGCTTCATCGCCTGCTGGGCGCCGCTCTTCATCCTCCTGTTGCTGGACGTAGCTTGTGAGACGCTGACCTGCTCCATACTCTACAAGGCCGAGTGGTTCCTGGCACTCGCCGTCCTCAACTCGGCCATGAACCCTCTCATTTACACCCTGACCAGTAACGAGATGCGCTCGGCCTTCCTCAAGACCCTGCTCTGCTGCACCTCCTGCATCCGACCACATAGGAAGTGCAGCGGACCTATCGTGGGTGTGGAGTTCAGCCGCAGCAAGTCGGACAACTCCTCCCACCCCAACAAGGAGGAGATGGAGTACTCTCCAAAGGAGAGCACCGTGGCATCGTTGGGAAATGTCACCTCGTCGTCATAAACCCTGGAACATTCCAGGAATGAGGAGTTCCTTAACTTGGACAACGTTGGTGTTTGAACAGGAGTTCTTGGAACTGATCCCTCTGTAGACCAGTGGACAGAACCAGGGGTCAGGAGGAGGTCTGGAGTGACAGAGTTTCAACATGGAACTGATCTCCAGAATCAGACATTTTACTGACCCTGTTACTAGAACCTGTAAAACCTGAAAGTATTTAAGGAAAAAAACGTTTTTGATTTAGTTTTGCTTCTCATCAATTCAGGTTAAAAACACCTTGAGCCGACATTGAGCTCATATGTGTTCCAGAAATTCAATGGTTCTTGCTTACCCTGGGTGATTCCAGAAATATAAAAGTTCCACAACAACAAAAGTACCAGTAAAATAATTAGTCCTTGGAACTATTTAAAAAAGTGTCACAATTACATTTGGTGAGTTCATTCTTCAGATGAATCTGATCATAGGTCAGAGGTCAAATTACATCAGTCAAGTTTTTGTCATTCAGTTCTCTAATTCCTGTGACACCAAACAGTCCAAACAATCAGTCACATGACTTCCCTGGAACCCGTTCCATGGTCCAATACAGTCCAATAAAACAGTTCTGTTTTTGGACCTTGGTTTTAAGAAAATCCATCAGTTTTTTCTGACCAACCAGCTACACATTGGTACCAGTACTGTCCCCGGTTCCTCCACTTAAAATGTTCTGGTTTTTCTGGTTCTGGTTCCTGTGATGAAAATGTACCTATTGACTTCCATCACAAGCACTTCTTTTTAGGAGCAGCACTGTCGCCCCCTAATGGCAAACAGCACTATTTGCTCCAGTATTCAGTGTCGAGGTCACTGTGGTCCAGAGGCTGAACCCTGACCAGACCTCCTGAGGTCCAGGTCGTCGGTGTGGTCGTCTCTTTAATCTCTGCGTGTTTTTAACTTTGATCCTTGTCGTCGTAGTGATTTTAATAAAGACAGAAACAATTGCAGACGATCCTGAGTTTCTTACTGGTTCATGCTGCTAGTTAACACTGTTTAATATGTTAATATGTTAGCATGCTCTGCGAGCTGTGCTCAGCTAGTGGAGAATGCTAACATGTTCCCCTCCTCTTTGTTGTCAGTGTCATTTCACTCAGCTGTGTCTCCCTGCTCATCAGTCCTAACCCATGTCACCAGTTCTCACCCTGGGTCTCTCACTCACCCCTCCTGGACTCAGTGGTCAGTGTCCATGGTCTGGAGTCCAGGCTGTTTGTTTCGGTCCAGTCCGGATTCCACGTAAGTTGAATAATTTAACTTTGGACTCAATAATTAACTGCCTCAATCTGACCATGGTCCAGTCCGGTCAGGTCTGTTTCTGATCTTCCCTTGATCACTGTGCCTTCTGTTTCCTTCCACGCTGTGGTGTGTGTTGGTGAACACAGGAAGGTCAAAGGTCTCAGTTGGGCTGCGTGCTGGTATTCCAGGGAAGGCCCGATTCTCCCTCTTCTTCTTCTCTCAGTTGCAGTGTTCTGTCAATGTAAGTCTGGCCCAGATATCTGGCCCATGTTGGTTCTGGCCCAGATATGTTAACGGAAGTTCTGTTAAAGCCTTTATTTTTAACTTTTGGACCATTTTATATTTTATATATTTTTAGCCAATGTTTGATCACTTTAGAACAAACAATCCCTTAAATGTAGACCAATGAAAAGAGTCAGTAGGACATATATTAGACATATATATTTACATATTAATGTAGACACTGTTCTGTTCACATTTACGTATTTATTGACCGCAACTTACCGCAATATATACATACATGTGTGTGTATATATATATACACACATATATATTTATATATACATATATAAATATATGTGTATGTATACATTGTATGTATATACAGTATATATGGATATACACATACAGTATATACATATATGTACATACATGTATATATGCATATATATACATATATATATTTTCTCTGAGGACGTCAAGGTTAGAGACGTGGAGAGCGTTAAAAAAACAAAGCTGCAGCCTGTCACTCGTCATCAAAGTCGGTGAACGCAGGATACCACAGGCTGTCCTTCCTGTCTGTCTTCCTGATCGTCTTTTTTTCTTCTCTGTGTTTGACTCTCTTAATCCAGGACATCTGAGCTGCAGCCAGAACAATGAGACAGACCTGAGGGGAGACAACAGTTGGACACAAAGTCAACGTCTGTCCATACAGAGATGACTAGTGGTCCTACCAGCTGATGCTGGTCCACTGCTCTGTGAGCTAAAATCACTCTTTTTCTCCATGAAGTTTGGTGTGAGATTGACTATAGGTTCCATCAGGATTCACTATGAATATGTGTTCAGATGAGGCTAAAAGATAGCCAGCTCAGACGTCAGCTCAGCACTAGCTAAAACCTTTGATCAAGGATACATCAACTTTTGCTCAGAAAAGATAATTGTTAGCTGTAGGAAAAGAAATTAAAGGTAATGTCGTAGCTAATGACAGTTAAGTTACTAACTTATGGAATGATAAATGTTACCTTAAGGTTAGCTAAATAAATATATTCAACCAGCTGAAGAAATCATCAGATTATTATTATTACTGTGTCCAGATGAAGTTTTTAATTTTTTTACTTTGACTCTTGTGGCTAACATTGAGTTTTTAACTTAAACTCGCTATCTTTTAACCACTATGACTACATTGCAGCCATTCTTTTACTGTGCCTTTGTGTCTCTCTCCAGCAGGTGACGCTGTTACCTCCAGCAGCAGAAGCGCTCCAGTCAGACCTGCCACTAGGATCAGGTTGTTTTTGGCCCAAGAGACAATTTTCTCCAAACAGCCGACAGTGAAAACTTCAGCGTCAGCGTCAGACTGCTGCATCCCATAGCCACACATGGTGTTGAGCACCGTCTACTGGAGGAAACACGTATTACATGTATAAACAGGTATAACATCCAATGACTAAAACCAGTGGAAAATAAAACAGTAGTGTATATAATTTCACATATGTCGCACCATCTGATTTGCAGCCAAATCGGAAATAAACTAAGTAAAACATTAGCATAACAACAGAGAGTTTTAAATGTTAGCTCAACTCTGGGGTAGACATACAACTAGAACAAAATGTAGCCAAAAAAACAAACAGCTAAACATTAGCTAAATGTAGCAAAAGTGGGTCAGCCTATCATTAGTCCAAGAAGAAAGAAGCTAAAAAAGAGTCCAGACAAAAAGTATTTAACAATATTAACGTCAAGTTGTAAGAGCTAGCTAAAAGGTAACCACAGCACAAACAACGGTAAGCTAAAGTTTAAAGTTAGATTTTAAATAAATGAGTGAACTTTAGCTAAAAATTGTAAAAAATGAACCTCAACTCAGTGGGACCATGTGACCATGTGACCGTGTGACCTGGTTCTCCAGTGGAACGCAGCAGGAAAAAGGAACTCCACAGGCCTCCACACTGGGGTTGGTCTCTGAACACTGGAAGTACTGGTTCTGGGACCAGTCCTGATAATGTTGGACTCCACAGCACTGGAACTGTTTATACACACATCCACACACAATGAGTCATTGACACAGTTGGTTCCAGCATGAACCTTCATGATGAAGTACCCTGGACCCTGGTCCTTTACCTTCTTCTGGATGAAGTCAATGGCGTTCTCCAGGTCCCAGTCCTCCCGATAGCGGACCACAGCCTTGATCATGAGCAGCTCTGTCCTCTCCATCACCTGGTCCAGAAACCAGAGGCACAAACACGGAACCATTTCAGAGAGCTTTAGAACCAGAACCAGGACCGGGGAATACGAATGGAACTACAGTGGAACCTCGAGATACCAGTCTAATCCGTTCCACCACAGCACTCATCTCAATGGAATTTCCCCCATTAAAAAGAACTAAAAACCAATATAAACAAATATATTGATAATATGAAATAATAATAATTAAGAAAACTTTTATATTATTGTTATAAAAATGAGTAAAATA